CATGGTAATATATTGACATCCAAGTTGATAACTCACGTACAAACACCACAGTAACTTTTGAGTAGGTGTCTTGATAACTTCTGTGCAAATAACATGATAATACATTGACAACAGAGCTGATAACTCATGTACAAATACCACGGTAACTTTTGACCCGGGAATAAAAGTTGTTGAAAAAAGATACCTCCGATAATTTTTGTGTGAATAACATGATAATATACGCACAGCAGAGCTGATAACTCATGTACGAACACCACAGTAACTTTCACTCATTTTTTCTTTGAAAAAGACATAACCTCGATACCTTTCTGTGTAAATAATATGGTAATATTCGACCACAGACCGCAGTAACTTTAATCCGGGGAGAACAAAATAAAAAACATACCCTCAATAACCTCAACGTAAATGCCATGGTATTCTACGCATCATAGACCTAAGCATTGTATGGTCTGGCACATACCTAAACCAGTCTAGCTAAGCAAAATGCGCAAAAAAAAGTAGTTGAAACATACCCCTGATAACTTCAGTGTAACACCATGATAATTACATACTATGGGCGTGGTAACTTTTGGCCTGAAAAAAATGTCATCGAAACATACTAACATGGGATCTTGTTTCGATGCTTTCATCGTGGTGAAGTATTTTACGTGAAAACAGATTTTTAATCGAAGCGACGGTTTGAGGTACAAAACATTTTAAAATTTCAAAATTGAGAGAATCTTTTGCTCACATCATTTGTTTTATCTTTTACTTTGCATGCATGCATGGAATCATCAAATCAAGGCTGGTTGGATGCGTTTCCTCCGCCACCATCCACGGGATTAGTTAGTAAGATTGCATGCATGCGTGATTAGGTAGGAAGAAGGAGGTGTTTGGATCTGTTGCTTATCTTCCGATCAGTCGAAAGTTAGAAGTCTTTTTTTCATTCCGCGTCCTAGCTTAAGCACTTGGTTCATTAAAAAATATAGACTGTCAGATTAACAGTGCCATTCATCAAGTATATATAGCCCCTAATTCTTGGGACAGTACATTTACAAAAAAATTGTGGAAATTCCTGGGAAAACTTGTAGAAATAGTGTAAGCAATCGGCAAATCACTTACACAAAAAAAGGTACCTGCAAAACTGAATATTTAAAGGATCCATGCACTCCAAAGGACGATCGATCAGAAAAATATTGAATAAAACTACCCAAAGCATGATTACAAACCTAAGAGGCAACAATTTTTTTTAAACCATGACATTGCTTAAAATTCAGAAAATAAGCCACCAAAGCACAGCAGAGCTTGCTGTCTCTTCACACTTCACGAAAAACGCTAAACCAAAATTCACGACAGGCTAACTAATCTGAATATCTTTTTAAAAGACTAACTAATCTGAACTGCAATACTGATCGACAGACAAAATACACTAGGCAATATACTGATATCGAGTACCCCCACATAAACATAATCTGAAGGGAAAAAAAATAGCTGAACGCACAGCCCCCAAAATTCTTGGGCGAAACATCGGACGCCACAGGTCCACTGAACTAAGAATCGAGACGTTGTTGTTGATACCTCATGAAATTGGTGTAAGCACACAGACGACATGAGAAGCGGCAACGACATATGTTCCTCCCGCCCGGTTCCGACCTCACCAGCTAACACCTGCTCGTGGCGGGACTGGCGGAGAAGCTCCGCCGGCCTCCTCTCGGTACCACTCTCTCTCCTTCCTCCTGCTGCTCCACGACAGCTAGGCTCCCTCTTCCAGGCCCCAGGGCTGCTCGCTGGCAGAGTCCCGCTCTCCATTACCTCCCGCTAGTTCCTCGCTGCTGCTCGCGGACTGTGGTGACTCCCCTCCACCGCCTCCACCTATCCTCCCCCCTCCCTTCTCCTGACCAACACAGATTGCAAACGGATCCGGGTACAGACCAACACAGACTACTGAAGCCCCAATGAGATGACACAGACAGAGCGAGCAGCGCCAAGATTCGTGCACATCCGACGGCCACAAAAATGACTTAAAGCAAAATTAAAAGCAGACGTATGAAAATTAGAAAAACTGTAATTTTATTGAACGACAGGCATAAGTACGTAGTAGACAAGCATGCCCGGCAAGCTCAAACAGATACTCCCTCCGTCCGGAAATACTTGTCCTAGAAATGGTTAAAAATGGATGTATCTATAACTAAAATAAATCTAGATACAACCATTTTTATCAGCACATAGTAGACAAGCATGCCCGGCAAGCTCAAACAGATACAATAATACCATGGACCATAAAATATATGCCCCGTTGTTATCCCACAGGTAGACCTGAGAAGGTCAATCACGACCAGAGGTCCCCTCCATCGCCGCCACAGCATCAAGAGATGAGTTCCGGGCATAAGTTTTGGTAATGAAATCAGCACACCTCTTCTGGAGCTCCCAGCAGTTGTACTGCTCGGCTAAAGCCAGAGTTGTCGCTGCTGTGTCCACTTTGATGCCATCATAGAGCTTGCTGGCGCAGATGAGCTTGAGCCTGTCCAGCCCATACCTGTCAGCAGCAGCAAGTAGATGTTGAGCAAGAGCCATCACAGATGCCGCCTGCTCATGCACCTCATCCCGTTGTCCGGATTCTGGCACGGTGTCGGTAATCATGGCCTCTGCACCCTCCTGCTGTTCGAATTCTAGCACAGTGTCGGTGTAGATGAAGTGGAGCAACGCCTTGAATACCACGGCCTCCATGTCCTTAATCTCCACGCATTCCGAGCCCCTCTCAATCATGTCACCAAGGAACGCGGCCTTAAAGACACGGGACCTGACCGCGAGTATGTACTTGTGCGCAGCAAAGGACTCACCGGACACGAGAAATGTGACGTCCGCTCCCATCTGGCTCTGCAGGAGTTCAGCGAAGTGCTGGTGCAGGTTAGAGGTTGGCACTGGCACATGCACTTCTGGTTCTGGTATATCTGGCAGCTCCTTGAGAACTTCAAGGGTGCATTGCACAATGAAAGAATCATCCTTGAGATAACGCGATTTATTCAGGGTATACCATGGCATGAGAAGCATTTGTGATGATTTATCTTGGGGTTTCCTGAATGCTACTGACTGACAAATTTCCTCGGATGGTTCACGAACTCCCTCCGGGTCAACCAAGCAACCACGTATAGTCGTCACCACAGCCACAGCGCACTCGCTGAGAGGGACAACATTGATTGCCACCCAGGAGGGAGCCGATGGCTCACCGCCATGCGGATATACACGGATTTCCCAGTCATGCCCACCGAAATTCCATCTGCGTTTGATGTGTTTGTCCCTGCCCGGCATGTGAAAGCTCTTGCTATACCCGGTGTACTTGAACCGCCGTTCCGAGCGCAAGACATGGGTGAGGTCTGTGCAGGCGATTTCCATGGCCAAGGCTGAACAGGAGAGCAAGTGCTCACAGCTGAAGTCCTTTTTTGCGTTTCTGCGTTGGGAATGATTGCGGATTAGTTTTACTACAATCCAATGTTTTAAATAGCGTTCGGGCTATGCGATTTAGCGGCGGCTCAACCAAAAGCCATAACGAGTGTGCAAATACGGTAATAATCCATCCGTAGATGTAGAAAACAGGCTGCCCTAGCCACTGTGCCACATCAGAGCATTATACGTCTACGGATGAGATCATCACCGTAATTGCACGCTCATGCCAAATTCTAGAACTAGTTTGGCGTACTTTTCAAGTTTAAACACTTAAAAGTAAACATCAGTGACAAGTTTAAGCACCATCATAATATTACCTTTATTTAAGAACTTTGTTAGTACAATCTAGACCGCCGGGTCCTCTCTTTCATTTTTGACATAAAAAAAGAGCAATCGACGAGCAAGGCATGCGATCGCCAAAGGAAGCGAAGCACAAGCACAGCTCACCTCGCCACCGGAGCAGAACGCGGCCGCTCGGCCTTGCTTCAGTGCCGCGCCGACGGAGGAGACGACCAGAGGGGAGAGAAGCGGATCAATATGAAAAGATCAGTGCTCCGGCAGAACCCCGACGAGCCCGACCTGCACTGTCTACTGGAGAGCGTGTCGGATGAGTGGCGTTCCTAGCGTGAGATCAGCTCCGATCTGGGTTTGGACGAGATCAATCAAGCAAGCTAATTAATTAATATAGAGCCAGCTAAATAGAGTGTTTACCGAGTTTTCGTCCAGCTACGCGGAAGAGCAGCGTGAGGAAACCGTGTGGTCCTCACCTATCATCTCTCTCTCTCTCTCACTCTCTCTCTCTCTGGAAGAGGACGTCTCCTGTTCACAATTAAACTCACGCGCTAGCTTCAAACATACGCTAGCTTCAATCATAGTACTAACCAGCTTTAATGTCTTGTCTACCCAAACTAAGGGCATCTTCAATGTTGACCCATAATGTTAGAGTTTTGTCAAATATTATTGTACAAGGTAGGTTACAGTTGGACTTAGTTTTGGACTGTGTGTAGACAGGGTAGGAGTTGTGTCCTAATAGGACACTTGTATAATAGGTCTCTCATATATATCGAGGGTAGACACACGATGTAACATATGACAACATAATAGCACGGGTACGCGGGGGAGCGGCGGCGTGTGCCGGCGCCCGAGCGGCCGGGGTGCCGTATTGTAGCGGTGTCATGGGAAGGAGCGCCCGTAGTCACGCCCCGATGATATAGCCATATCGGTGAACCTCGTTAACAAATCTCGGTGTCGTGCTTGTGTGATTGTTTGGTTCTCGATAGATCGATAGAGTGCCTCGGATTATATTAACAAGTGGTATCATGAGCAAGGTTTGACAAGGTTGTGATTGTTCGGGATGTAAATCGGTGCATGATTGTGAGATCGGAAGCTATCGCTCGTGATAAATCGAATGAGAAGCTGGTCGGATCGATGCAATGAAGCAAGGGAAACGCATCGGCGGTATTGGAAGCAATCATTCGTGGATTATTGATCTAGAGGAAAAGGCTAGAGAAATCACGGAACGGTTCGGTTTGATCTGTGTTACGTCCGGCGATCGGGAGCAATGAAACTCGGAAAGATTGAAGTTGACGAGAAGCACAGGATTCGACGGGAACTCGGAAGCGTGCTGGCGATAAGATGCAATCAGAGGAGAAGCCCGCTTGCAGACGCTAGGCGCGTGGCTCAGATGGCAGGCAGTGCGAGTGCGCCACCCAGACGCGGCAAGGGCGTGGTCCATCGGGGCGAGCAAGCAGCCGGCGTGGGATCTTCGGTGCAGACTCGAATCAGGCGGCGGCGGCGGCGTACGCGGAACAGCGTCTGGAGGTCGTAGCAGCACGAGGCGAGGGCTGACGTGGTCCAAGGTGCACGAGGCAGGCGGCCCAATGGCTCTGCGTGGCTGGCTGGGCCTGCTGAGGCGAGGCGTGCAAGATGTGGCTTTACACGAGATTTGTTTGTGAAAAAAAAAGCACGTGCATGAAGGCTAGAAGAAAATTAATCAGCGAAGGAAGCTAGTATACAATGGGTAGTTTTGCATCTGGTGGCAGTTACGTTGGCTGAAAAAAGCAACATCAAGCATTGGGATTGTGCCAAGAGAAGCACCACCCCGTGAGGACCAAATGAAATTTTCATGGTTGGATTTTACGGTAGGAGGAGTAGCTTAGTTGGAGTAGCAGTGATGTTTGAAGGTGTTGCAGAAGTCAGGACAGCTAAGATAGAACTATCATGTATTGGATGGAAATTCGCGGAAGATAATTTGGGAGTCTGGAGCGTGTCGTGCGTGATCATGCATACACAGGGCGTCAAACAATTCATGGAGATGTGCGGGCGGACACAGCGCAGGGTGGAGCATGGTTGCAGTTGGATAATTTCGGTTGGGTCGGACTGGACTGTGACGGATCGACGGGGATGTCGGTCAAAGCAGAAGACGACGCTGATTTCAGCAACGACGACATAGGAGCATGATGCTGATGGTGGCCGGCTTCTGGGGCGCGGAAACACGTGGTGCATGCCTAAGGGCTTGTGCGGCTTCGACAGACTATGACGCGGGGTTGATTCAAGATGGTGCACACATGAGAGAGCTTGAAGTCGACAAGGCGCAGGGTAGCGGGGCGCAGCTACATGGAGTCATGTTGAAGGTGGAGCTGGAGTCTGACGGAGGACTTCACTCTGTACTGATGGAGGGGCTATGGCGTAAATGCATGGAGAGTCGAAGCCTATTTCAGCAGGATAGCGAGAGACACGTGGATCGGATTGGGTACCAATGGTCTGATGGAGACGTGATACTCGGCATCGGTTGGTGATGATCGATGGTTCTCTACAGTGGGGGTTGAGTGATGTGGGTTCGCGACCTTGGGAGACTCAACCAGGATAGCAGAGGCTCGACGCGGTGATAGCGACGAGGTGTGCGGTAAGTACGGGACACAGTGACAGACCAATGCACTGGTGGTCAGACATGTGGTCAGACAAAGTTTGCAAGGGTGCTGAAGCAGTGTTGACGAGTACCAGATTCAAGTTGGTGACTGGGTCTATCGGTGCTAGTTGATGGACAAGAGTTGACCGTGGAGAATCTGAGAAAGTGGCGGAAAATCCAAAATTTTCTAAAGCTGAGAGAGTACATGGCCGTATATTCTGTGGTGTTCAGTGCACATGGCAAAGTGCGGATGATAAGGCAGAAGGAGGCGGAGTGCTATAGCGGTGGGACATGTCAGAGACTATCCGGAAGAAGCGTGAGACAACTATGAATTTGACTCAGGATGATACAGGGCGACAGGTGAAATTCCTTCAAGTTTTAGACAAGCAGTACAGAAAAAGCAGTGATGTTGAGTTCACGTAACTCTCATATGTGGTGTCCAATATGTGAGTTGTTCATTTTTCACGTAGACAATGGTTGGTGTGTGATGTCGTTGAACGGATACTCCGGAAGTTCGAAGCACAAGGTAGAGTAATGAGGAACTTAATTTTGCTCGAGTGTTGACTGTGAAGAAAACGAGAAGGGACTACAATTGCAAATGGAGTCACATGGAGTCTGGGAGTAGCAGCGGTGTTCATGACGTATCTCAAGTCCAATATACATGGAGGTTCGACGCACGGACGAATTCAAGGTGGTGGAGAATATTCGCCAAGGTGGAGTTTGTTAGAGTTGTGTCGAATATTATTGTACAAGGTAGGTTACAGTTGGACTTGGTTTTGGACTGTGTGTAGACAGGGTAGGAGTTGTGTCCTAATAGGACACTTGTATCCTAGGCCTCTCATATATATCGGGGGTAGACACACGATGTAACATATGGCAACATAATAGCACGGGTACGCGAGGGAGCCGGCGGCATGTGCCGGCGCCCGGGCGGCCGGGGTGCGGTATTGTAGCGATGTCATGGAGAGGAGCGCCATAGTCATGCCTTGGGGATGTAGCCATAACGATGAACCTCATTAACAAATCTCGGTGTCGTGCTTGTGTGATTGTTTGGTCTTCGGTAGATCGATGGAGTGCCTCGGATTATTCTAACACATAAGACCATAAATTTGCTTCCGCATTCGTCCATGGACAAAGGACCAGTTCGGAAACACAAATACGAAAGCCGGCAATTCAACGCTATTCGCATACAATTCAAACACTGGTCTAAATATACCAGATGTAATTCCTGTAAACGGCTGATCTTCGTATAAACTAAACGAAATTCATTACATTTCAAACATTTTTCATTAAAAAAAGCGGCCAGACCAAAGCGGCGTGCGACTTCCAATTCCTTTGTATTCCACATTGATGACCACGTCCTCCATCCGCAATCTGCATGAGCGCCAACGTGGTTCAAGACCCATGAAGGTGAAGTGAATGTGCCGTCTCCGACGAGGAAGCGTAGGACATGGCAGACGGAGACCGACCCACTTGAGACACCAGGAAGCGTAGGACATGGGACACGGACCGACCCACATGAGACACCAGGCACTACCGCCTACTATGTCTTTGCTCATCCCCGAACAAGTTTGTGACCTATCTGTCGTCGTTGCCGGTGGATGTGAGCTTGATGATGGACGTGAACGGTCCGTCACTGTCCACCTGCCACATGCGCCCTTAAAATTTGGATGGCCGCACATAGGACGCGCAGCTGGTGGTGTTCTTGTCCTCGGCCGCCAGCGCATGTGCGTGTGTTGCCGAGTCTGTGTCCGGCTGCACCGCCGCTTCATTACAAGTGGCACGTTGAGCATGCGCAGCCACGTAGACAACCCATTGCTTTGTAAAGAAGTTCGGGTTCGCAGTGACCATGGCGGCCACGGCCTCCTCGCTTGCGCGCTCGTAGTAGATTTGACCCTCCGCCAACCGATACTGCTGGAAGAAGAAGAGATTGTACTACTGCTCCACCTATGCCTGCAAGAACACCGACATAGTAGACGGTGCAAGATGCTCCTCCTCCGCCATGGCGGCATCAAAGTGCATGCATACGCCTACGCCTGCT